TCTTAATATTATAGGTACATTCATCTTAAATATGTATAAGTTTGCTGTACAAGATACGTGAATAGCAAAACCTTTTTAAATTAAAAACTCAAATTCTAATATTATATTCGATATAAGAATTCATTTAAACCTTGTGTTCAAAACTTTTGATAGATAATAAAAAATTGTATACTTTTTTCGTTATATGTCGATATATTTAATGTAAGTTGAGACTTGTCAACTAGTCCAGATAATTATTTTTCATATTATGCTATAATTATTATAATAATTAACCTAGTATTATAAATGATAATTTATAATACTGTAATTTATTGATAAGATGGAAATGATAAGATGTTCTTCAAACTTAATGTAATTTTATATGAAAACATTCAAAAGTGATATCATTTCCAGACAAATAAGAAAGAGTTGAATGGAAAAGACAACACAAATGAAATCAAATGAAAGCTTGAATACAAATGAAATGTTTGAAAAGCCATGCATTGAAAGCAATTGATGTACTTTCCGGTCAGTCAGGATATGTCCCTTCAGTGGGGAAGTAATGGCAACGGAATGGACTGTTGTGTGGGGTTTACAACCAGTACAGTATATATGATATAAGTTTCGGACAACTCTTTCAGTGCTATTCCTATTGTATAGAGAATATACGGATATGTCGTATACTGTATTGCAATTGATTTGTGAATCAAGAATTTGTTGTTTGTGTTTTGCATCATTCAAATCGTGTCCTTTATTATGAAAATCAGTTCAATGAGTACAGTAATACCCTGAACAAGACTGAATCTGTAGTGAATAGTGAATACATTAGTGTTGTTGTACTCATTTGCAACAAATCAGAGTTTGATTAACAAAATGACACAAAACAAAAGTAATTTGATTTTGTATTGCAATTTGAAAAACTACAGAGATTCAATAACACTCTAATAATGTCATTAGTTTAAAAAATGTTTAGAAATCAAGTTTTAAATATATTTTATATTGTTTGTACACAAAGATAAATCTTGTAAGTTTATAAAATTAAATTAATAAGAGTGATATGTAATACTATTGTGTGATATTTTCTAACTAAAATTACTGTAATATAATAAAGAGGAAATGTTGAGAGAGAGAGAGAGGGAGAGAGAGAGAGAGAGAGAGAGAGATGAGTCGTGTATGGCTGCTGTTGTGATCCCCTCTTAATATGAATCTATCATTTTTGTCCTCATTTTGATTGGTTCCTAACACATGCTTTTGTCCCTTCACTCCATCCCTCTATTCTTATTCCTCAGCAGAATTCACTTCCAATCCTCTGTTAACTGAAGTAAAAATCGAAAACTAATTTCAAGACATATTTCATTGTGTTTTTTACCATCAATTTAACGAAACGAAAATTTTCAATGAATTTTAGACTTTTTTATTGCAATTACTCCTCAAACCTCCACATTATGTCACAAACTTTTTAATACCAAAACGAATTACACAAATATTCCGTTCATTGAAATTTATTTTCAATTTTTGTTTTATATCACTATTATATCTAATTTATAAGACATGAAAATATGTAGAGAGAGTGTTTGCAAAGTTACTCGAAATACACACATTTCCGCTATTATTTGATTGATATAATGTTTTTATTGTTTTCTTTTTGATGTCCTTTCAATGATTACTTCCGTTATCTGTTATATAACTCAGTGTTTGTAAGAATAGCTATTATTATGATAATTCTAATGACAACAATATTATTGTGGATTTGGATCATTCGTTATGTGATATGAATTTACTTTCGGTTCATAATAACCAAAAGAATAATAAAAAAGAAAAACTCATAAAAATAAAAGCAATTTGACGAAAATATTTCACAATATAATGAACACATTTAAAGTCGTTTGGCGTTTCGGGTCTTAAAATTAGTTACATTTCTATTATTTTCGTTTATGACTGAATTATTCCTAATATGTTTTGTAATTCTCTATCATTTTCTCAGTGCAAGTGGTGCTCAAAATATTTATGACAAATAACTAACCCTTTAAGTCTTATCATCAAAGCAAATATGTAATCAATTGATGGCAATCAATAGGTCTTAATGCAAAGCATCGACTGTTTTACGGCTCTATTTCTTTCAGCCGTTTCTTTTGTGTCATACAAATGATGTTTAAGTCTTGCGATTCTTTGGGGAATTTCTATGGCTTTCATTTGTTAACTTTTACGGCACACTAACACTCCTGACGTTATGTAATATTTTTTATGTTACAAACAAATGTTATATAATACTGAGCCTACAGTTGCATTCATTGATTGTTTCAATTTATTATTACAACAAAGTCTCTGCGAAACAGCTCTAAGTTTTCTGTTTTGATATTTTTAATCATTAATCACATATGCATTCACTTCTTTCACTCCATTTCTAATCCTTTATTCATTCAAATTAATGATAATTTATATGAAAACTCTTTTCCATTGTTTTGGATTTGTTTGCTTTGAGTTATTAGTCGTGAAAATAATTTTTCCGACTTACATGTAATGCAACTCTTATTTTTTGCAAAACAATTATAATAATTTGATAAATTATTTCTTATTTAATCACAAGTCCTTTAAGATATCCCAATGACTACTAAATTCTGTAACTATATGTTTTCAATGATGTTTTTGTGTGCACATAATGTCGACATGTGTTGGGTCTGACTATAGAGTAGTGAAGTCCACAATAACAATAACTCATCCATATTTCTATTTGAGTCCAATATCCAGAACAGTTAGCTTTCATTTGTTATTCCGCCGAAAACCATATATAGTATTAATCAGAGAATATATGATACAATCCCTGCGAAACAAACTAAAGTGAGAGCTCATACCATGCCATTAGTTATGTGCCAAATCTACCGGTGCTGTCGATGTTTATGCTGAGCTGTTCTCTTATTCTGTTATGTTTTGAGTTTCACTTCTTTTATTCCATACAAATGTTTGCTTTGGTTTTGTTTTCAATGCCTTTCCATCGGTTCTCATAACGAATCTATATTTCTGTAGTGTTTCTGAGTTCTGGTTGTCATCTATTCTTCAATATATTCTTCAATATATTCTTCATTATTTGATTTATGTTTTTCCAAATCTATTCGCAGTATAACTCAGTCTCTCATCAAAGGTTTTATTTGCTAACAGTATTGCAATCCGTTATTCCGATGCTTTTGTCACTCTGTGGATGTGATCTGTTTTTCTCTCTTTGTTTCATCTCTTATTTTACTCATCTTTTATCGACAAAATAAATGTTTGTTTTTATTTCAAACACTTAGACTTTAAATTGAATTTCAATACAACAGTTGTGTTGCTATTCTCAATGCATTCCTAACGCGGTTTGTTTTGTCCACTATTTATAATTAGATTACATTTAAGTCTTTTATTTATATTTTACAAAACAAAAGAAAAAATCGCACAAAAAAGTGTTGACAAAAAATGATGAATGAGTGCCATTTCATGCCATTAATGAATTGATGTAAATTAACTCACTTTAGTGGACACTACTGTTGTTTGCTGTGTGTTGTGGTCAGTTGTGCAGAGTATATGTGAGTAATGGAAATAAGATTATATGTTGCGCTCATAATTCGTGAATACAATTCATTTACGGCTCATATTTTTTGTGCCCAAATGACGTATATTTGGTGGCATTTGTGTCGAGGTTTGTGATGTGCGAGGGTTTAGGTATTAAGCCATAGGGAGGCGACGTGTTATACAGTAATTTGATGAACAAAACCTCCTGAGAGTCTACCAAATCCGAGCCATTGTGTAGTGGAAGGGAATGAGAAGAAAATTGTATGAAAAGGACATTCTCTTAGATATAGTTGTCATTTAGAGTTACATCTCATTTGCAATAACGGATAAGGACTGAGCAAACCATGAATAGAGCCCTCAGTCTTGCCTTTTGAGTGCTTTTCTTGTCACTCACTTAACTATACTTAACCATAGGTTTACTCTTTACTCCCTATTCTCTATTCATTCAACTTTTCTTAAGAATAAAAATACATTTTCAATACATTTTTCACGCATTCACTCACTTTTGTCTGTACTTTACTTCATGTAATTCATTGTACATATAATTCAATATCTTTTATTAGATTCATTTTATCCATTAGTTCACAACTAATTGAATACAAAATATAATTTATATGTTAATCATATTAAATAAATTCATTGTTTATATTTGAAATATTTAATAATTTGATTGCATTTGAGTTTTATTTTTGGTAAACCATTTTTTGCTTCAAATGGTTTTCATTTTGTTTGTTTATTCAACAAAATTGCAATAAAGGTTTGGATTGAAAATATTATCATTCAATTTGTTGTCCTCTACGATACACTGCATTGTATTCACTCTAATCTCCATATTCTGTAAAAACTGATTGAATTGCAAAATATTCTCTCGTTTTCATTGATTTAAAGAATCAAAAATTGAATTTAGGTTTTGCGACACAACAGCCACGCTATGCAGTGAAGCCTATGTTTGCGACAAATTCCGTTAAAACAAATAAAATTCAAGAAAAATAATAAAATGCTTACAAAAAAATAAATTTATGTTTAGTCAGAGTTATTAAATGGAAATAATTTTTCAAACAAATTGCATTAAATAGGATACGAAATAATTTGCAATTCATATAATATTACAATATGTAACATAAATACTTGTTTAAAATGTTTTTTATTTTATAATAAAATTAGGGACTTTAGTGATCGTGACATAAAAACAGACAAAAAGCAACTAAATTATATTACCGTCAATAGTGTGTCTCATATTTCAAACTAATTTCAATGAATGCAAGTCCAGAAGTCTATTAGTTGTGTAATATTGTCCTCAAGTGACTCCTTGAGAGCCGTTCCCTAACTTTAAGGTGTATTTGGCATCAAATCCAATGAAATAATCGTAAGGCCTGTGAGTTATCCACTGAAAATCCATCTCAACTTTGCGTCTCTTATTTATTTATAAGAGCCGTATATTTGATACCCTTTTGTGTGGAGATTTAGTACTTCACTGGGAATCACATACTAAAACTCAATCTAATATAAAATTTATTTGGAGAACCTGTAGTCAAAAGTAAGTTTACAGCTACTCTACCAAAGTTAACAAATGCCATAAACATTATAAAACACTAATATTTTACTTATTTTATGAAATTTAGTCATGAATTCAAAACAGACTTCTTATTTATATAATATTTATATCAGAGAAAATCGATATCATATTTCATACATTAGATTTGAATATAAAATTTTTATAAATAAATTTATAACAACTTTATATTTCACTAAAACTTTAGAAAGAGATTTCAGGTATAGTATGTATTTTCAAATAAGTTATGAATCCATTTTAATCAACTTCTTTGCACTTCAATTATTTAGAGAAGAAAAAATTGAAAAATAGTTATTTTGTTGAGAAGTTTTGTTGAGTGAAATCATTTGACATTAATATAAAGTGAATCGCAATTTATCCCTCGAGACTGAACGCAAAACTTTGTTTTTAGACTCATATCTACTCTTCACTAATACAGCGGTTCAACTGATTTGTGAAATATTCAAAACAAGAATCGAAATATTGGGACACTTTATCATTGCCTTCAGATGTTTGCTTAAAAATAAAGTATAAAATCAATACTCTTTTTGAAGTTTAGCTTCACTTATCGCAAAGAGTCCACTAATTCATGTTTACTGTACAATACTAAGCGAATATTCTGTACAATACTAAGCGAATATTCTGTACATTAGAGTTGAATACTTTATATGAGATTAAATGTGAATTTAAAAAAATAATTTTGTGGAAAAATATTTTTATTTCTCAGTTTAAAAATATTTTTATTACAAGAGTAATTACGATAACTAGTGAACTGGTGAAAGAATTTTTACTGAACAAACTCTGCCACTAATTTATGGTAATATTAAGCCTTTGCTCGGATTTAAGGCCTATCATTGATTTTATCATTAATATGGTTGAGCACAGGAACTGTGGGTGCTTTTTCATGTGGTGTTGTCTATGACACTAAGGGATTGAATAATATTCTAATAAAGTATTAACGAAAAAATAGATAAGGCGTTCATCTTATGCATGAGATTTGCTGTCAATAAAAGCAATAAAAAGAGTATGCGATGGAGGTATACACAGCGGTATTTGCATTGCTATAAGACCTGTCTTATAATCTCCTAATGCCTGTGGCATCGCATCTATCGGTGATAAATGAATTGCAATAAATTGTTAAAAGTATGCACTCTTTCCTCGACATGATTTTCAGCCCAAACTTTTCCATCAAATTCTTCGTTCGCTAACACTTTAACGTGAATTAAATGTCTGTTTAAAACCCGTATTTGTAAATGTATTGAATGAAAACACATTTCTAAGTGTCTATTAGATATTCAGATGTATTGGAATGTTTACAAAACTGCAAAACCTTAAGCACCTTCTGCTCCATTAGTTGCCATCCCTTTGCTTTCGGCGATACATTAAATATTACAACAAAATCATTGTATTATTACACGCATTGAATAATTCAGAAAATCTTTTGCATGCAATGACCCTCTCATGGATGCCATCAATTGCTTCTTTCTATCTGCTCTTCAATTGGTTTTTATATTTGAATCAATTTATTGAATCATAAAAATGTTGGTCTGATATATAGCACTCATAAATCATGAAAAAGTTTTAAAATTAAAAAAAATATTGACTTTTTCTGGTCTCTATTTGCAGAACAAAAGCGAATCTCAAGGGAATGTGGTCTCCGGTGCAGGCAATGGGTGTGTCGCCCAAACATAACAAGGGCTGTCCGGTGGCCCGGTGTAAGCACGCCATGTGTGTGACACTGGACGGACATATCTATCTATACGGCGGCCGCAGCGCTAACCTCCCGCTCAAAGACTTGTGGCGTTTCGATGCCGGACAGAACCAATGGGAAGAAGTGCACTGCAGAGGACAACTGCCCCCTAATCTTCAGGAGCACACAATGACTGCTTGGAATGTAAGTCATGTACCACTCGAAAGCCAACTCATAATTACTTTTGCCAAAGAGATCCCAATAAATCTTATGATTTATTTCTTTTTTCCCGTTTGTCTTATATATGACTCTGTTTTGGATGCGATTGTGTTATAAACAGAACAAACTCTATGTATTTGGCGGTGAAATCGGTTTCTCATCCAATGGAGAGACACCGCTTTGGATATTAGATTTGTGTGAGTATTGTATAACATATTTAGCGGTTCTCCACACCATTCCTATGTTTTCACATATTTCTTGTATTCAATCAAAAGGGAATTCAATATAATATTTGTATAGATTTTGGCATTTATTTAGTTTTTCTGTTAAATTAAATTAATTTCTATTATTCTTATCAATATTTATTTGAAGGGAAAATATTTCTGTTTATTTTGCGACACTTTTTCAATCGTTTGAGTAAACATTTTATGCATATTTAAGTCATGTTAAACACAATGAGATAAATAAGTTGTCAAATATTGGCAGAAGTGATGCAAACATTATTCATATTTATGACAAACACAGCGACAACCACTTGGAGGAAGACGACGTGTAATCCCATGCCTTCAGCCTCACCGGCAACGGCACCGACAGGCAGGAGAGGTCACAGCGCCGTCTTATATGGCGATGCGATGCACGTCTATGGAGGCTATCAAGACCTACGCGGGTCCTCATCAGAGTTATGGACATTTGATTTCAGTGAGTCTTATTGCATAACGAGTCACTTGATATGCCTTCCCTTCCATTGCCATCACTTGACAACAATTGAATGGTTAGGCGCAGCGCTCAGCCTATTCTCAGAACAGAAGTTAAGGCATTTGTATTGATAGCGAAAACTTGTTTAGAGTTTCAAGTCTGAGACCAACCATATATACAGATATCACAATCGACTGACTATTTCTCATGAGATGTGTTATTGAATTAAAGTCAATGAGTTCTAAACTATCTCTACGTGAAGGAGACTAATGGCTATAATGGCCACCAATACGACGACACCATAACATTAGAGGAATTGCTTTCGGAGCACATTTTAAAAGCATTACATTTCTGTTGGACTCATGGATTTAGTGAGAGTTTGCAATTCATTAAATTTGTTGTCTCATCAGTCGTCTCATTCATTTTTTGCGCTTTTTTATCTCTATTTTTATAAGACTTGATTTTATTTAACCATTGCTTACGATAAATGAAATATTGATAAGATCTTGGAAAGCAAAAAATTTGATGATTTCATACACTATTTAAGTGTTTTGTGTTTCAAAAGCTCATTAACTGAGAGAAAAATAAGTCAAACGTTTGGAGACTGTGTGGGGGATGTGATGGCCTCCAACTGGAAAGTTGTCTTTGATTTAGAGCTAGAGTTAGGGACTAAAGGAAAGTAAGATAAATTAATCGATTTATTTGGGATCACATATAGTGTGCCCCATATGTCAGTCATATACATATATACGACACGAATTTAATTCACTTCTTTGTTGAAGACTACAAGATCTCTAACGTTGAATCCACCGGTTTTGTGGGATATCAACTTTTCACACTCCCTGTCCTCTCCAGAGTATTCAACGCAAAGCTTTTCATGAAAAAAATAGTCACACCTAATGGTGAGGTCTTGTAGGCCTGACGTTTGCGATGACTGAATGCAAACATTACTCTGAATATAAGATGCAGACATCGGATGTGCTGTTGTTTATTACTTCTTTGGATTAATGTTTTCCATTAACTTTCTATTACAGGAATTCAATAAACAAGATATATTTGAAGCACTTATTGCTATTCCTTTCCCTATAATCTTAAACTTGAAGTTTTGATTTTAATTTTGCTTTCAGTCATGAATTATTTGTGCGATAGGTTTGAATCCCATATAATTAGTGTTAATTGTAAATAGTATTGTGCGAGTGATTAGCATTCAATTCACTTCTTTTCATTTATTGAGGACTAATGAGAATGAAGTCAAGAATTTAATTGCAATTTTATGTTGACTTTGGCTTCACATCGACTTCACGTCCATTAATTGCATTGCATTTTCACATTTGAAATCTAATTATTTTCACGAAACATTGATGCAAATAATTGATTGTCTATTTTCTTAAAAGTATACCTCCCTTCCCACCACTGGTCAGTATTGCCATTTGAGTCCCGAGATTCTCAGTGACATTACAATCAAATAATAGATTTTTATAGGATTTTGCTTTAAGTGTCGGATCGTTAGTTACATTGCTGTCCATTGAAAGCCATGAATTACTGTTATGTTAATGACATCCACACAGAGCTTAACATTAATATCATGTTTGGACATCACTATTGCTCTTATTTACTAACCAATGATTAGCTCCAACTTCTAAACACTATAAAAATCTCTGTCCGTACGGAATGTATTGGTTATGTGTTGTATAAAAACAAAAAACCATTTACACCGGAATTATACTAATTAATAGTTTCATTCAGTTTTTGTTTTTATGTTAACCTTTGATATTATACTCAAATGTATTATAATTTTTTCAATGAACCTTTTTTTATTTAACTCTTATATTTATTCACTCATTAAAACTATAATTATTATCTGATTCGTGGATATTCGTGACAAAAGTGATATTACGTGTGGCTTCCCAATCATATCTAATATATTATATTTTCCACAATTTTATTACTACTGATTTTTGTCCACAATTTTATCATTCAAAGGGAACTAATAAATACTTTATGACTTACAGCTATATTTGTCGGCAGATATCGATTCATTGACTGTTTATTTCAAAATATAAGAAAATAAGAAAAGATTAGAGAAATTATGTTACGATTATACTGTTTATACTGAATTGTATTGTATTAATACATTGTGAATGAGAATCATAACGATTTCAAGCTGTGAAAAGCTGTCATTCCCTTTAAGTCACAATCAATTTATAAATTATAATTTTAAGTGCCTTTTATCGCAAAAGTGAGCGATGACTGCACTCTCATTTGCGATCAGATCCAGTGTCCATTTATTAACAAAAATGATTAGTTTGTGATCGGATTATAGTATGACATTTAAGAATATAAACTTAATTTTGAACAAATTGTTTCAATCATTTTACTATAGTCTTTAATAATCATATAAAAGATAACAAACAATTTCTTAAAAGATTAATATTTAATTAGTTATTGAATTCTAATCGAAAAGAAATATAAGAATATATTGTATAATAATAAAAGTGTTGTTTAATTTAGTTGATTGAATTCAAATGAAACGTTGTTTAATCATTAGATTAAGATTTGATTATTTTTATTGAAGTAATATTTTGTTGTAAGAAATCGATTCTCTGGAGTTTGGGTTAACTCGATTGGATCGACATTTATTGCCATCCATACTATCAATCAGACGCTCCTTTACTCTCGTTTATTGGACACAAGAGATTCGTTTACTCCGAGAGAGTGTTAATTCTTTTAATTATTCTGAGTTCACATCCCTGTATAATATACAGTGTAATGGTATATCTTATGTAGTGGACTACATCTCTAATATTGTGATAAATTATATCTCAAACATCGGAATATTCTTTTGTTGTCTTTCTATGACTATTATAGACCATAATTATGATAATTATAGCTTAAATTCAGATAAATATTGAATAGACATTTTGTTCATTTATTGTGATTTATGACTAGAATATTAATAGCTTTTATATTATAATGAATTAAAGAACTCATGAATTTTCATCAATTAATTCAATTAATTTATACGACAAACGAGTTAAATGCAAATACAATGGGTTGAGCACTCACTTTATATTTGAGACTTTGAATATATAAATTCCGTACAGAAAATCAATTATAATTTAAGGATTTTGGTGATATTGGAGTTTTAATTGAAATGTACTTGTATAGTTACAGAACAATGGCATCTAATGAGTAGCCCCTCGTCATCTCAAGACCACCCGCCCCCCAGACACTCACACTCGGCTGTAATGCATAATAACTCTCTGTATATCTTCGGGGGAATGACTGATTTGAATGCGAGATCCGATTTTTGGAAATGGGATTTCAGTGAGTATTGCATACAAATCAGTGAATTATGTGTTTATTATTGCAATCGATTTGCTAACAAAGGAAAAAGACGGTGGCATAGAATTAAAGCGAATAAGGGCCCTGGTGAATTATATGGTCACACAGCCATCGAGGCATTCAATTCTATGTTCATTTTCGGAGGAGAAAGAGCCGGACTTTTGTTGCGAGACTTATGGAGATTTCATTTCAGTTAGTATTTCATGTCATCTTAGATTGGTTTCAATTATTTATTTGTTTTTGTTCATCATTTCAGACACTGAACAGTGGGAACGCATTAATGCCGAAGGGATTATACCAAACTCCAGGTGCAGACATGTAGCCCTCGCCAACCCATTTCTCGATATTACTAAAGAGGTCGAGGAATCCAATAATACTAATAATACCAAAAACAACAAAATTCTTCGTTTGAGTTCAAAATCCAATTGTGTATCGAATTCTGCGAATCAAAGTAAATCAATAGTAACGGCGCCCACAAAGTCCATATCCATGTGTTTCGGACAACCCACTGATACACCACTCCATGAAAACGGAAAAGCATTAAAGCATTTAAAATTCAGAGTCCATCCTATGTCTGGTTTCTGTAGCGGCAGAAGTGCCACACTTTCTGATGATGACGACGACGTCGATAATGGTGTCAACACTATTGCTAATGAAAACTATGGAACAGAATTTGAACGGAACCCTCAGGTGACTATGAGGTAAGGGATTAAAGGATTGTATTTAATAATTGACAGATTCATTAAAAATTATCTTCAATTCTAGAAAAAGTCTCAAAGAGAAGATCTCGAGAGGAAGCCGTCTCGTGAGGAGTATTTCGACAAATAGTTACAATATTTTGCACCAAAATATAATATCGACCGAAGAATTGAAGGACGAATTGGAGAAATTAGTGGAGGAGGCGACGCCTCAAATGCAAAGACCCAACACAATGACCAATAAATCTGAAGGAACTTACCATCGGTTGAAGAATCGGTCAAAAATGCCCAAATCTATCAGTTCTAACGCTGTGTTAGAGTCTGACAGCGAGTCTTCCACTCCTCAACACCGCCCAACCCGTCCGCTCTCTGAAGTCATACAAACACAATCAGTGGTCACACCTCTGGAGGACGATCTCAAGTGGATTAAGAGGCGCACTGTTCACGAGTCGATGTCATACTATAGTCTTTGCTTTCCTTCGCCACCGAATCGCAGTAAAAGCGGATCCGAGTCGTCGACCACTTCTATCGATAATAACATCTCTGGACAACAACTGCCCAATCGTTTCATTCCTTCCAATTTTGACAGATCTCTCTCGGAGTTTGACGAAGACTTAGAGAATTTACAATTAATTGGAAATATTCGTCCGATTGATGACAAGAGCGACAAAAGCCTTTCCCCTGAGGAGAGGACATCCACCTCCACATCGACATCGACTCCGCTCATCGAACTGGACGATCAAAACGCCAATATTATGACCATTTCATCGCCAGTTGAGTGCAGACCCAAGTCTAGTGGCTATAACTCGTCGCTCACTCTTTACACTCCAAGTGTTGAGAGCAGAGGTATTCCTCATTCAGTTTCGCACAGTTCGGGCTACCAGTCCTTTACGGATGAAGCCATGTATGAACACAGAGACTTCGCCGGCGCTCTTCAAACTGCTGCCATTCCTCGGCGAATGTCTGGCCGACAGACAAGAGATCTCATGGAACTGAAGAACTTGAGCGCAAAACTTGCGGAGCAGATACAGATTCAAAGCCAAATGGCAGAAAACGGTAATCCGTTGCCAACACTTAGATTGTCATCAAAGGAGAACCGGGAGAATAGGGCCCGTTCTTGGGATAGAGCCTCCAGTAGAAGGGAGTCATACCTGAGTTCCAGAGGAACGATGACTAATGGCTGCGAGAATACAAAGATCTCGTGGCAGCCAAACATCAATGTCATTAAGGAAGTGGTGGTTCCGGGCTCTCCGGCCAGTCGTAAGTGGTCTTACAGTCCGGCCAAATCCAAACTACATCAACACCATTGGCAGCTCTGTATGTTTATCTTCGGCGGTAAAGAAGAAGGGGTTAATGGTGTCTACAAACAGCCGATGACTGTCTGGAAGTTTTATGTCTGAAACTAATCAAACCATTCATCTCTGGTTTATTGTACTAATTGTTTAAATTAATTGATTGTTTGTCTGAATATTGTTTTTTGGGGTCAGTTTTGAACTGATTTTGAGAATACGATTCAATGCATACGAGAAATACTCATTCAATTGACATCTCATTCCGTAAATTAAATAATATGTTTGAAAACTCAATATATTTGTCATAATTTGCATTCATTTACAATTCAAATACATAATAATAATAAATTACTGTTATTATCAATGAATTATCCACTTTAATATCATATACCAATGTCTTTAGGGGTGCTTTCAATGATTGAATCAGATCTCAAAATCTTTATACAGAATATACAGAATATTTGTTTCTAAACCAAACCATTTGTTTGAATGACAAAAAAGTTTGTTATAATTATTATTATAGAGCTTTAAATAAATATCAATTGGTGGGAGAATATGACACAAAATATAAATTAATTATACAGTATCTATAATATATTATACATAATGATTAAATTGATTATCAATTCAATTGATGTACAAATTAATTATCAAAATACAGTGTAGAGTATTAGTGATTGTTTGGACACAAACACAACAAAACTTTTTCTAATGTGAGTTCACTATAATATACACACATATTGTCGACAACTAAATACGATTTTTAGATATTTTTAAAACTCAATTAACTATTTGATCCAATCGTGCAATCAATCCATTCATTCACTCATCAATATATCATAAGTTTTACTCAATTGAGTGCAATATTTCCCAAAGATTAGTGCAATTAATCAATAATTTGTTGATTTTTCCCCATTTTTATTGGTTCCCTATTATCAATGCGTTTATATACTAATTAAAATTAGTTATAATTTGTTAATAATTATAATCATTGTGTTTATGATTAGTTGTTTCGCATAATTATTGTCTCAAATTGTTTTGCAAAATATATTCAATAAAAGTGTTCACAAATTGCTGTATATTATAAATAATAAAACATTGATTTGTCAATAATATAATTACTATTTATCTCATTTAAATAAATTTCATTAATCCTTTAATCAAATCAAATACTTTTCATTGATTTTATCATTAATTTAATTAGTTTTCAAGTTTGCCGCTTACCTCTACAATGCTCTCACATATATTTGTGCCCTTTATATAGTGTGAGTACCATATGATATGCTTCACCGCTACATATAAAAAGGTATCGAATTGTCGCCAAACAGTGAGTCTAACCGGCGATCGATTGCATCGAACTATCGATTCATCGCTTCCTCAATGTCTTCAGTGTTTGAAGTCTTTTGTCATTAATTTGAAGAGATTTTCATATATTTGCGGATCTATTGAGTGATATCTGATAACACATGCAAAGAGGGTATCAGCCGATGACGAGTGCGTCGCCAATGATGGCGAGTGCGGGCGTTGGCGCCAATCCATCGGTGGTTCAGCCCATGTCTGCCGTCAACAACACATCCCAACCGCCGAATCCGTCTCTTCGGACACCACTTCTGGGCCCTCAGCGGATGTTTCAGAGCCCTAACCCTCCGCAGGGTTACGGACCCGTCAGTGGACCTCCCGGTCAGCGCTTCCCACCCACACATCACATGCGAATGGCTACCAACGCACCGCCCTTTGCACAGAGGCCTATGGTGTCGACCCCTCCCGCGCCTCCGCAGGGCATCAAGAGATCCGTCTCCGCAATGAACGGACCGCCCATTGGGGGCCTGCCCTCCAAAGGCGTCCAAATGCCAGGAATGGGAGCCATGGGTCCCCCTCCCGGACCCACTCATCACTCGAACCCTCCGACGACTTCATCGAAGAAGAAGAAGAAACTCTCGGATAAGATATTACCGCAAAAGGTGAGGGATTTGGTGCCGGAATCGCAGGCATACATGGATTTGTTGGCATTTGAGCGCAAACTGGACTTCACTATAATGAGGAAACGACTCGACATTCAGGAGGCACTGAAACGGCCGATGAAACAGAAGCGCAAACTCCGGATCTTTATCTCCAATACCTTCTATCCCGGGAAACCCGAGGGCGACGCCAATGAGGAGCCTTCGGTGCCCTCCTGGGAGCTCCGGGTCGAGGGACGCCTCCTGGAGGACCCGAACGCCCCCAAAGCAGATCAGAGCAAACTTAAGCGCAAGTTCTCGTCGTTCTTCAAGAGTTTGGTCATAGAGTTGGACAAAGACCTGTACGGCCCGGACAACCATCTCGTCGAATGGCACCGAACGCCCACCACTACAGAGACGGACGGCTTTCAAGTGAAACGTCCGGGCGATAAGAACGTGCGCTGCACTATACTCCTGCTGCTGGACTACCAGCCCCTGCAGTTCAAACTGGACCCACGACTCGCCCGACTCCTCGGCATTCACACCCAGAC